TGTATATTTAAGAATATGGACGTAGCATTTGACATAGCATTCGAGCCTCTCTTATGAAAAATAGTTCTTTTTTAGAGATAAACTAATGGATAAATAATGTGATGCTGTCCTTTTATATAAATTACTTAACACATTTTTTTACACTAGTCTTTTTTAAAAGTCAACGTCAACAGTTCTTTTCACTGACGAGTCCTAGAAATTTATAATAAATAGTGGTATTATAGAGGTTGTACGAGTTTAGATTTTTTTAAAAACCATTCTTTGTTTAGTGTTCTGAATACGAAGAGATGCCTAAAAATTTACGTCCATCCCGACCCCGAAGTTCGGGACTCATTCAAAAAATGCATTTTAAGTTGTGGCCCTTCTCCTAAAAACCAATTCGTGCCAAAATAAAAAGCTCACAGACGAACTTCTTATAAATAGGGAAAACAAATATCATTTGTGGATCATTCTTCGCAAACTAACGAAAACAAGACTGAAAATGATAAAAAAATAAATATTTTAAAAACAAATATTTTTCAAGTGAACTAAAAAGAAAATTAATAATCGTATTTTTGTTAGACCTTAAAACGATGACTCTCGAAATTCACTCATCTTTTAAAAGCGATGTAAATTTTCGAATCATGTGTGCGGATATTTTAGTCAAAATTAAAATTCATTACGTAAGTGATATGATAATATTTGCTTTTAGTCCACCTAAAAAAATTAGTTTCTTTTTAAAAAAAATTATCTTATTCACTCCTTTTTTTGTTATTGGGTTACGTATAGAAAAAAATTACAATTCTGATTTTATCACCGTATTAAGCATAAGAAACAATAGATGAACCAAGGCTGAACTAGAGTAGTAACGCTTACGTTCGCTTCCTCATTATACAAGAACGAACTGCCATAGTTTCTTCTGTTGCCGTTCCCGCAGTGGACTGATCGTAAAGACACGGTTTCCATTAGAGCACCGAAATCAAGTATCACTGGCTGCGGTCAGTAAGCTGGTGGGTGATCACTTTGATCAGCCTGCTTAGGGACCAAAGATGCGCGGTATCGGTCCTAGTGAAATTGTTCGACCGCAAAGGGTTCAATTTCACGCTCAGGTCGTCGGGCTACCAAAGCAGGGGAGCCATCCCCTCTGCAGAGGATCCAAATTGCGATGACATGTCTTCGAATCATCCTCAGGGATGTTTTCCTGAACGTCGCCAATAGCACTTTGAGCAGCTCTAGTGTGGCGTAAATAAAATGCCTACCTATCTTCGGTTGCCCTAACCATGGTTATCATCTTTCTGATAATATTTCGACAATTTATGATATTTTCTACAGAAAAGAACATTCAAAAGTTAATAGTGTCTTTCAATTGAGCTTTAAGAACTCACACGAATTTAAAACCTAAATTATTCATAAGTTCTTAAAAATCTTTTATAATAATATTATACCAAAATATTTTTTGGATTTAGGCTAATTTATTACAAGAAAATCATTTAATTCATTTTCTAAAATAAAATTGATTTTGAAAGTTTTTTTTCTTTTTTGACGGGTAGGGAGGATTTTTAAAATGTTGCCTACTGTGAATAATCGGCTGTCAATTTGAACTTCTGAGCTTTTAAATAACCTAATTTAAAAATCATGTATTTATTGTTACAAATAAAATGGATGATAAATGAGCGATCGCATAACGCATACAAGAGAAAATAGCTCTCCATTCGCGGTTTCTCTTTTTGAACCCCAGACAAGCCAATAGTGTTACACACATTTGATTTGTTTTTTATGTTTTCATCAAATGGCTGCACAAATCATGGTTAGAAAATAGTACCCATCGACATCTAAAAATGAACGGAGTTAGTGGAAAATACATTTTTGAGAGATTAATGCATCTTACCTTTTTATTATTCTGATGAAATGAATGAAAACATTTAAAACAGTAAAAAGAGTTTAAAAAAAAGATTGTTTTACTTAAAATATACTTATTGTGTTAAATGCAATAATTTAAAAGGCACAATACCATTCTAACAACCTCAAACTCCAATTCACCATTCCAATGCTGCTGTATCGTCCTTTCGAAATAAATGACAGGTGACTTTTTTCCACAAGCAAGCTTCCTAAATACAATAAAAACAACGCTCTTCACAACATTAAAATATCATTTAAGTTCATTTAGTAAACATTCATTTCATTTTGTTGCTATGGAAACTGGAACACGTTTGCCGAAATTTAAGAGATTCATTTGTTCTTTGTTAGATGAGTAACTTTCACTGACCTCTCTCTATATTACTGGATCGTTGATTCAATGCTTGAATCCTGTATGACGCGTATCAGTGGTTGCATCTCCTGGACCACTAATTGAGAGATTCCGTCATTAGTTTAATGAGCAAGACTATATGCAAACGAATACAATCAAATTCAGCTATGACTGAAGTAACTTTTCTTGTTCAAAGCTCCACAGTAGGCTGATTGTTAAACACGGCTCCCAGTAGATACTCGAAGTCAAAAACCACTTGTAGAGGTCAGTGAGCAGTTGAGTGACCACTTTCACCAACCTGCGAGGTATCGGTCCTCGTTAACCTGTTCAACGGTTAAGTGCTCAATTTCGCACACAGTTCGTTGGGCTGCCAAAGCAGCAGAGCCATCTCTTCCGCTGTAGATCAAAATGAGGTACTTGCACTTCAAGAAGAAGAGGATCACATATACCCACACATGTGATCTATGACGTCAACGCCATGATTATTTGTAAGCAAAATGGCGTGTTAAAGATGGGTTAAGCTTCTGCACATAAATTAAAATTTTAATTGAAGTGAAATTAATTAAATACATAGTCGCATCGCACATTGAATTTGTTGAAATATAGTTTTTTTCCCGTTCACGTCTTTTTCTTAACTTAGATTTATTATTTCTTTAATGTATTTTATTGTAACTGTGATATATTTTTATTCTGTGTACCTGGCAACTTTGGTGCATAATTAGCTTGTTTATGTTCTACATGGTTTCGTGCCTGTCTTTGTGTTAAGTAAGAAAGTGAAAGAATTGAAATCTTTGTGTAAGAATACATAATGTCTCATTTACGAGAATTGATACTTGACAGGCTTGGCTTACTAGAAATAGAATAGACAGAACAGTTGCTAACATAAACAAATGCCACGTTTCAACAACCAATCAGTATCGAGATATGTCGCTTGCAAATATTCCATTGTAATGATATGTTTTGGGATTATCCTCTCAGGGATGTTCACAGTCAATACCCCCATTGTGCATTGCGTCTATTGCGGTGCAAATAAACTACCTTTACTTATTTTTTCTATCAATAAGTTCCTTTTTCCTTTACTTAGTTTTATTACTTTTTTTAACCTTTTGAAAGTAGAAATGTAAATTTCAGGTGTGCAGTAGCATGAACAAATAAGGAAGCCAATTGTTTCAGAATTAATCAAGTAAACAAACATTCAAAGGAAGTTTGAGTAGCCTTTATATATAAAAAATTTAGCGACTCTTAAAACAATATTAAATTTCGAGAACAGAATAAAGTAAGAATTTTTAATCTGTATTTTTATTATCATAGCACGCATATCAAATAACGAAAAAATCTAATTCATATTGAATTTTTTATAGCAATAATTTCTGCTAAAAATATGAAATTTTTATATCGAAAATAACTTTTTTCATATATGACATGTATAAATTGTGTTGTTTATTGTTACAGTAGTATCAGATAACAGAAAAGAACCACTTACATTTATCTATATGATGTTTCCAAAACAGAAAGAGTGCACTTTAATACAATCTAAGAAAAATAAACTACAATCGAATATCCGACTATAAATTAAAATAAATATCAAAACATGATTGAACAGATAGATTTTCTGGAATTTCTATTCCGTACAGTTTCAGTGAAACGCATAAGCTGTTATTCTGCTACTTTTTTTCTTTCACTTTTCGCTTTGATTATTGAAATTAATTATTGTCATCACGATTATTCTTTTAATCAAAATGATGAATATTTGTAAATATGATTAAGAGTAATTGATTATTGTAAAGTCTGATGACAGCTGTAACCAAAATTAGTAATCATGATTAAATGTAATTGATTACTGTGATCAAAAAAAAGTAATCGATTACATTTTACCCTTTCTAATGTAATCAGAGATCATGATTACTTGTAGTCGTAATTAACAGTAATTGTGATTACAAACAACTCATTATCTAACAGTCATTATATGTAATCCATTAAAAGTTTTAATCGATGACTGTTATCGACGCCCAACTCTGCATCGTAGAGCTAACGTACCATTTTTATCACATTTAGGACCTTATTGTGAGTTAAACTCTATCCGATAAAGCCTACTCCCCAAGAGAACGCTCAGAGGTGGGTTTAGTTTTCGCCTACCATAGATTGGTAGGTGCTGAAGGTTTCTTCGGATTACACTTTTCGTACATGAATTCACTCTAATGGCGTGTCTCTCGCGATTCCAGTCATGCCAGGTTGGGATGTGTCATTGCTATTAACATCTGCCCTCTAATCTAAATCGTGCAGCGATCAACCCCCTTCTCTTCGAATCATCATTAATTCCAAACATTTGTCTATCGTCTCATTTGTGTAACTCTGATAGGACCTTAAAAGCGACCCATCAACCTAGAGACCCCGGATCACTCCCAAGAAGGTCGTAGGTTTGTGTCCCAAAGTCAATAAAGAATCTCAGAGCTTTTACAAAAAGCATCATTAAATGTATTTATTGTTCCGCATACATACGCAGACTTGTGTGCTCGTTGCAAAGTACATTACAAGTTGATGCACAGATGTCAAGTGGACAATGTCATATTGATTAACAGAAAGCACAAAATAGGAGAAAAACATAGTGTAAAGACATATCTAAGGAAACTGCGGTATTCGAACCTTCCACACGGTTGAGCGTTCGGCGAATCTGTGAGACCTGTTCGGCCAATGAGGCCCCCCTTTATTACTCTGAATTTCACAGAATGATGACACAGATTCTTTTCGTTGAGCGAAATGAATTGAATTCAAGTAAGTAATTCCCTACTTAAAACGGGTGATGCGCTAAAATTGGTGTTTCTACATCCTCTTACCACTCAGTTGATGCTCTCACTCCATTTGCAGTCTTCAAAAAAAAAAAGTAAGTTTATTAAGAACATTATTAATTTATTCTTAGTGTTGAAACATTCATCTAGTTTAAAAAATTGACGATGCAGATTGAATTTTAAATGACTGTCTATAGTTGCTTAACGATTTTATTTTTTTCTATGCAACCAGCTTAAATTATATAAATATATAAATTTTGCTGTGTTTTCTAAGCATTGTACCAACGCAAATATAATAAATTAATGTCACTTATACTTTATTATTTAACAGAAATTCTAAAATGTGCAGTACAGCATGTGTTAGTTGATCTTGACGTTACTTGATCACTTGGTGGTCAACTTAGACTAAAGGTCGGCTTACAGTCATTAATTTTAATGATGAATGAGTCATTAGTTTTTTTCCCTATCGTTTCTTACATTATGTTATTAACGTTAATGTTATCCATATATTTCTTATGCATTCTACTTAAAATAAAGATAAATGTAATTGTTTCCGAGTTTTTTAAGATTGTCAGAATGAATAGTTGTTTACAAATACTTACATTTAAGAAAAAATTATATTATACCCAATGCAACAATTTTTCAAATTTTCTTGTCTACTTACAAACCTATTTGTTAGTCTTTAAGTTTGGCTAAATGGTAAACTCTAAAAAGGGGCTTAGGATAGCTAATAATACTATTTTACCAGGGCATTCAAATTCTAATGCACAGTATAGAAAATTTTCTGAAGTTTGTTTATAATCTTATGGAGGGTTAAGCATAACATTTATTTTGAAACAAACTTAACTCCAGTGATCAACATAGAAAATAACAAGACTTCAGTAATTTAAACATCTCTATGTAACTTTTAGTTTTGCATATATATTCGTTTCCATCTAAAGTTATAAGGCTAAATAAATTTTAACTTACCTAGTTGCAAATATATTTTATGTATTCGGAGAATAGAAATTAAAGTAGTCTAATTCTTGATTATGTTGTATATTTCTAGTTTTCCCAATTGTGCACATTTTTTCTGAACGCTTTCTTTATTTTGATATTCGTGCATCGATTTCAAATACTGTTCCAAAGTAGAAATTCTCTTCACTTCGTAGTTTAGTTATAATTAAGATATCACAAACATTTAATAAATTATGCTTCAATCTAATATGTCTTGAAAGTGATTCTATTCCGAACTTTACGACACGATTTTAGATTTCTCACTGTAAGTTAGTACGTATTAAATCTATTCTAAGACTTAAAATTTTGAGTGTTTGCTGTAAGAAATACAGATTTTCTAGTTTGATTAGCTAAAGATTTCAAATAAACAGGTTAAATGTAATTATTTTTTAATCTCATCGAATTTAAGTTAATGTTATGTTTATGTTATGTTAATAATAACGTATTTGTATTGATGTTACTTGGAATATAGCATCTATGCTACCAGTCCTTAAATTTGATACGTCATTATTTAAGTTTCGATTTCGATGTTCCTTGCAATTTTGCGTAGATTTTTAAGTCCTTTTATTCACTATAAATTTTGTCGAATTATAGAGCAATAGTTGACCTTATAATGAAAATGCAAGCTTTATTACAAAAAAAAATTTATTGTGTTTATTAGTCTTAGGACACCTCTCCGAGTTTTTCATGTTTTCGTGGAATGAAAGGTTAAATTTTTCTTTAAAGCTGGACTCCCTGGTTATTGGACGTGAAATCAAACTTTAGGTAGGATGTTAGTTTTAAAAATACGACAATCTAACTTTTTTCAAGAAACATTTTAGAGAAATATTTTTCTTAAATTAAGCAAAATATAAACTATTCCAGATTTGTTTTCTTCAGTTGTAAAATAGAACTAAAGTTAAATTCCTTTTTGAAACAAAATATGGCGTGAATGATTTAATTGCTATTTTTTCCTTATCCAACCTAAAATTAGTTTATTTCTGCAGAATTGAAGTGAGGAGACATGGCCGAAGATAAAATTCCAACAACTAGTAATAAAGTCAACCTACGCATTCGGCACATGGAAACTTTAAGTAAGGGAATTTTATAAAATTTTGGTTTTAGAATTTTAAGAATTGTTAAAATTCTACATGTCACGCATATTCTCAAGTTTCTATTTTAAAAATTTATATGCTGTGTAAAGCATAGCCCTTTATACTAGCACTTTCTTTATTAAGTTTAAATTGTCTCTACTTACATTGAAAGAAAGATTAGCTGAATATAACGCATAAAAGCAAGATTAAATGACCTAAGTTACAACCAGATTCTAAGGTAACAGAATTTCTTAAAATTATCCAAACTTAAAATTTCCACACTAAGTATTTTTAATAAGAATACAGAAAAAGGAATTTATTTGGTAAGATAAATTCAAATATCTTAATCTCTAAAATAGTACATGTGTGGTTTCGTAAAAATTGGACCGTAGTATTCAGTATTGGGGTTTAAGTACAATACGGTTTAAATCTAAAAGTTTCGTCTCAACTTCACTAACTTTACATTTATATACACTGTCACCAGTGACAGTGTCGAATTATATAGAACTAAACTTACATTATCACTGAATTTACTTCATTTTTGAAATTTTTATGTACTTCAATCTGGTAGTGGTGCGCTTTTAATTGCTATGCAACAAGTGCTTTTGTGAACCGCACGTGACTTGACGGATTCCCTTAAAAGTACTCTACGGGTTATAATCACATTTTTTTAAAATCATAACTTAAAGTTATGATCTAATGTTTTATGATTTAACTAAGGGGCTGACGCTCACCTACTCCGATGGTTTCTTCGTAATAGTTCCTGGTAAAACATTTGAAATTATTTAACTAAAAATATATATAGTAAACACTTGTCCCGCCGCTTCCCACGTCCAACTATTTCCCTTATACTATTAAAATCTATTGGTGAACATAAATCATTTTTCTAAGTAAATTTTTTGAAATAACATTTAAAATTAAAAGTGTATTGCTATAACAAATGAACTGTCATTTAATATTTTTGCTTATGAAATGTACGATGAATGTTTTAAACAATGTTTGCATTCATCACTTTGAGCATGAAGCTGAAAGTTTAGTTCTAAATCAGTCAAATATTCTCTTTAACCATATTTCATAATAGTATATTAATAAATTTGCACCAGAAATATATGTAAGGTGGTTAATAAGATGAGACAGATTTAAGTAACTATCTTAAAATGTAGCGTAAAATTACATTATAATAATAATATAACAAGCCTCCTAAACTCTTAATGTAGAAAACAATCAAACTTAATAACAGTACAAGTAAATACCTTTAAATGAGGGATGCAAAACTATTTATCGGAAAACAATATCTTTTATGATTTGTATCAATTCTAAGCTTATGATGACAACCAAACCATTATGAAAATTAATGTGGGAAAACTAGATCCGACCATCTGATTTTTCTGGCCAATCAAAATGCAGACTATGGAAAAATTTGTTAAACCATTGTTTTCATGTTGTATAAAAATTTTGAAATCTTGAGTGTATTAAATAACCTTGAATATTCCCCAAGACTATTCTTTTTTATACTTAATCCATAAAACTCGTTATTTGTCAATTTCTCTAAACTTTGAACTCACATGCTTCGAAATATTGTAATATGAAATTATTGTTTAGAGTAAATTCTGTTATCGAAAGAACTCTTCTCGTGCATAACTATTTTCATAACTGACAAATTCTGAACATGGAATTTGTAAATTGGTTTATCTGTAAGCTAGTCTTGTAGTCAGACTGAAATAAGTTTAAGAAATTAATTCAGTTTGAATATTGATTTTGAATGTTTTAGTAAGATATCATAGTTGATAAAAAGTTCAGTCTAGAAACATTTAAATTCGTACTAAATGTTTGTTCACTTGTAGTGCCTCCCACAGAAGAAGAGATTTTAAATGGCGAATTGAGAAAACTAGCGCTGAAAAATGATATGTTGAAGGAAAGTATATCTGAATTCTTTGCAACATTCTTACTAGTGGTGAGTATTAACTTGAGTTTCTGCTTTATTAGCTGCCTTTAGATACCAGTTGGGTCCCTTTCTAAAAATTATTTTGTGCAACATATAAACTTAATGCTGTGCAGGCTGATTGCTAGCTATATTTTAATTCTTAAACCCAACACCTTAATTAGTTTTAAACAATTTATTAACCAAATCTTTTTTAAGTCCAGCTCCTTGTTCGTGCGAAAATACTTTGATTTCTATTTTAACTATCTTCAAGGAATATCCGTGATATCATCAAAATTCATTGTCTTAAATTTTCTTGCATAATAGTTCAATGTCTGTCCGGCAGCCATTAAATCACTCAAACTACCATAAGTGTGAGTTTGGGACATTTCAGCTCTCTAAGCAGAAGTATTAAAAAATTTCCATCTCTGTTTGGAGATAGAAAAATCGTATCGATGCTCCTATACCTGCTTAATTACTTCCTTACACACCCCTCGAGCATTAATTTGAATACCGTACAATATATATATTGGAAAGAGTCAAAATTCTAAATAAATTGCTAAGTAACTACTCAACACCATTTAAAGTGCTCCTTAAAACTACTTAACAAATATACCAGTTTATGGTGCAATTTAATCTACGGTTCTCTTACTTAGCATCAGACTCAAATTACCTTTTTAAAATAAAAACGTTTAATTCTAAAAACATTTCAACACTGAATAACATTTAAGTTATAAGCAAAAAGATTTTCTCAGGGAATTAAAATGAGGTCAGCAAGCTGGTTTGGAAATTTATTAGTTCCAATAATTACCTACTTAAATCTGAAATTTTACTCTATGATTTATAAATGTTCAAATGAAATTTTATCAGAAAAGGAATATCAGAAAAGGAATTTTATAAATGCTTATTCATGAATAAAGGATAGTAGATAAGTTCATTAAATTGCAGGAATTAGACATATTAGCAGTCTTGCATTGGATTAAGATCCCTTCATATCAAATATACTTAATTATATAAGTGTATGGTTCAAAATGAGTTTTTCAGTATGAATATCTAAAATAATAAAAAAAATCAAAGTCTGGGAAGTCTTGCAAATTGCAAAAGTTTTCGAAATTGTTTAGTTTTCCCCAATATTAACAGATTTACATATTTTGAATTTTTGAATTTCGGTACAATGGTGTAGAGGAAAATATTGTTTTAATACGATATATTAATCCGCCACTATTCTAAAGTTTTCTCTTCAGAATGTTAAGAGTTGTTGTTGTTGCTAATTCCCATCTGGTCTGACGGGGTCAGACCAGATCAATGAATCCGTTGACATTCAGAAAATCCGAAACCAGAATGGGAGAGGAATGAATGTCATTCCAGTCCAGCCCTAAACAGTTCAAGNTGTTGTGGACTGTGACACCCTCATTCACCCATTCTCGGTAAACTCTCGACACGGTTGACCTTGGGAAGCCGAATTCCTGAACCACTTCCGAAATGGAATGTTCGATGAGTCGGGCACCCACAACCATGCCGCGTTCGAATGCCGTCAAGTCACGACGACGTTGCATTTTACCTGATCACTCACACAGACACTTCAAGCAATGTCTAACACACAACTGAGACCGTCGCGGAGGCCACCAGGTGGCGTTGGTCACACGTGCTGTCCATCCACAAATCAGAGCCCTGCTATCCCATGAGTTTTGCTCAGTCAGTGTATATTGGAAAGAGTCAAAATTCTAAGTAAATTGCTAAGTAACTACTCAACACCATTTAAAGTGTTCCTTAAAACTAAAATATTTCTAATAAATACTAGTTTATGGTACAATTTAATTTACGGTTCTCTTACTTAGCATCAGACTCAAATTGTCTTTGAAAAAAAAACGTTTAATTCTAAAAAAAATTTCAACACCGAATTACATTTAAGTTATAAGCAAAAAGATTTTCTCAGGGAATTAAAATGAGGTCAGCAAGCTGCTTTGGAAATTTATTAGTTCCAATAATTACCTACCTAAATCTGAAATTTTACTCTATGATTTATAAATGTTCAAATGAAATTTTATCAGAAAAGGAAATTCTCGTTATTTTATAAATGCTTATTCATGAATAAAGGATAGTAGATAAGTTCATTAAATTGCAGGAATTAGACATATTAGCAGTCTTGCATTGGATTAAGATCCCTTCATATCAAATATACTTAATTATATAAGTGTATGGTTCAAAATGAGTTTTTCAGTATGAATATCTAAAATAATAAAAAAAATCAAAGTCTGGGAAGTCTTGCAAATTGCAAAAGTTTTCGAAATTGTTTAGTTTTCCCCAATATTAACAGATTTACATATTTTTAATTTTTGAATTTCGGTACAATGGTGTAGATGAAAATATTGTTTTAATAAGATATATTAATCCGCCACTATTCTAAAGTTTTCTCTTCAGAATGTTAAAATGATTAGTGGGTCCATTCCATGGCAGAGTATTAAAAATTTAACTAGTTTTTATTAATTTATATTTTATGGTAAAGTATTTGAAACATAGATTTGATGTTACAGAGAATGGCCGAAATCAAAAGACAGGCTGCTTTCACCGGTGATTGTCGACAATTACATAGTCGCTTTGGTGAATGTCCGAAATATTTGTTATATCCAATTTGATATTAATTTATTCATTGATAATATATTTATTCGATATTTTAGTATCAACACAGGGTAGATTAGGAGAAACATCAATGCTCAGAATACCGGTTAAATGCAGTGGCACTTGACCTTCAAAACATTGTAGGGCATACCGGACAGTGGCACTTAACTAGAACTAGTGTATCTCTCCGACATTTACCAAAGACCATGTGATTGTCTACATTCACCGGTGGAAGTCAGCAACCACCTATTTCTGTCATTCACAGTAACATATATCTTTCATGCATCTCGTTCTGAGCAATCTCCCCTTAACTCATTCCTTCATTATAAGTGTATACAGTTCAGTCTACAGATAAATTTGTCTTATGCGGTAAAAAAAAGTACTTTTAAAGTAGTTCAAACCCATTTTTGCGCTCTCAGGCTACATACTGAGGAGGCAAGCAGTCAAGAACAGATGGCTAATTTCTATGGGTGGGTGACAGTGTAAAGCTAGGCACGGATGGCGCTAGGGGGTAAGAATTCGTCAAACTTCCGGGTTTCTACTTCCGATTCATTTTTATGTCTAAGCTTGAAAGAGCACGTCATCCAATATATTTGTAATATTTACAAAATAACGTGTTCTTCCAATTTAAATTTTACCGAAACAAATGTATTCAAAAAACTCCGCTAGCACGCTATGATGCGACTCAAAAGAAATCTGTGATATTTTGCACAAATATAATCAAAGGGATAACACTCAAAGCAAACTTTTATGTTTTTATAATTTTCCTACATTTGTTTTAATCTCATAACCAGTTAAAATTTTGTAAATTACAGAGAACTCTTACAGATGGTAAAAAATTACGCGTAAATTTAAACACGGCTTACAATAAAACTTCCTATAATATTAAGCCTGTTCACACATCGCCTCGTAAGTGTACCATGAGTGGAGGGATACATCGGAAGCTTTCTAAATTTTTCCAGTTTTAGGAAGCTTGTTTTGGTTTACATTCATTAAACCATCTCTATTTTTGCGTTAAGAGGAGCAGACGTGATGTGCTGATGCGAAAATATGGGCCTCTCATATGCCTGACTTGCCGCCTCTATCCTCAGCGTGTTGCCTGAGGCATTTTGTATCTCTACTCTATTGTCCATGGCTCTACGAAATTTGTCTATTTTAACAGACTTGGAAAATCTCTAAAATAAAGTGGATAAATATCGGTAAAATGAATTAGTTTCCAGCATAACTTTTAAGACTTGGTAATTTTAATTTATTGAGATGGATGCAGTTTTCTTTCTTGAAACCAGAATGAAGACTATGTTGGAAGGTTTGAGTTTTGATTAAACTACAGTTGAAGCAAAACTTGAGCAGTCAAATGTTGAAATGCCTCATTCGGAAGTACACGGCAATCAAATCTGAAATGTTACTAAATATTAGAGTTCAATTATCTTATTCTTTCTACGAAAATTTTTCATAGTAGCATTTTAGCATTAGTCATTTTTATGTTGCAGGTAATTGATTCAGCTGACAGAATCAAACTGAGGAAATAGTTCCGAAATCTTCTTTTTAGCGGATTTTTGTAGAATATTTCAGGCTCAGTGTTGCATTTTAGTTTTATTGGAAGTTCCTATAAAATCGTTGAGCGTTGCAAACACTCAGGCCTATTGTAGATACTTGTTGACCGAAAAGTCATTTCTTTATATTTGCAACTGCACCTTGTAGGCTTGATTCAATTGGTTCAAATATAAATCGATCAAGCTACTTTGCTCGTTTGAAAAATTCGCTCATCTAGAAGATCTAGACTATTAATTTTCTATCGAGAACTTAGCTAAGCTATTTCCTGTTGATAATTCATTTTGTGTTTCAGTTCTTGGGGGATTGCGTCATAGCAACTTTGATGTTTGCCCGCGCCGACAATGTTGGTCTGGCTGCAGCACCCCTCGGATGGGGTTTGGCACTGATGGTGGCTGTTGCAGTCACTGGGAGAGCTTCTGGTATGTATGCAGAAATAAAGAAAACAATATCACCTCCACGTTTATTAGCTTATCTTCAAAACACTATAAACTACGAGGGCGCGCTTGCTTCTCATTTGCTCCAAAAAAAATTCTTCGTGTTAAACATATTAATACTTCTAAAATTAAATATTCAATCGAAAGATCACAATTGCGAAAGGGGTCTCGTAGATTGCTACCAATTCTATTAACGTTATTTTGCTAAATGATCAGTGCTACTCACACATACGATTTTGTAATAAATTAAATATTTAATTTTGAGCTAGTTATGTTTTCACTAGAGAATTTAGTAACTGAAATTTAATTTCCAATGCCTTATAATTTACTCATAATTTTAATTGCATAATTGTCTAGTTGGTCTTGTTAGTTACAAAGTTTATACTGAAACATATATTTTTGCATTTTAAGGTGATGATGGACATGTTTAATGGTAATGTACATGTCAACGCTTAATTTATACAAAAATTGAGGTAGAGTTAATCAAATGCATTTGAAATTAAACAAAACACATCGAAGAGTATCTAAAAATTTTATTACGCTAAAACTGCGGAGCAAGGAACTTTTTGAAGTTGTGAGACTATTGAAACATTCCATCAAGAGAAATTTTGCCAACGAAAACTACATATTGATGAATGGACCAATACAAATTCATTAACTTATAACTAACTCTATTAGGAAAACTGATTTAAGCGCATATTACTTAGTGAACTGTAAATTTTTTAATATTTTAAAAACCAAATAATGGATTTTTGAATGACTTTTCTTATTCTGAATGTCCTTAATTGGAAAACTGTCGAAGGTTTAGATATTATGGAACATTCTGATAAATATTTATTTGTTAAATGATAAGATTACTCGATAATTTTTTCCATCGCCTACCCTGATATTGACTTTTCTCGTTCGGATATGAGAAGGGCAGACTTGTTGGCCCCTCTCTAAAGATCACTAATATTAGTTGGGCCAACATTGCTCTCACAGTAACGACAGATAATACAGAGAAGGAAAACATCAATGCGTTGTACGGGATTTGAACATGGGACCTTTCTGACAAGAGGTCGGCTCCTTAATCACCATACGGATAACTCTATAATTAACATGGCTTTTAAGTTGAAGCCCTTAGATTTGAAATTACCAAAAACGTAAGAATTGGGCTCTAAAGGAAGCACGATAAATATTACAGGTTACCTTTAAATTAGGGATAATTTTTAACTTAAAAGATACCTTTAAATTCATGCTGATAAAAGCCGAAGAAATTTGAGTCTTTTCATGAGAACTGAATCATTCTGTTGAATGAAAGTTCACGAACGATAATTTGCGATTTTATGAATTTATAAATTTCTGGTTCATAATTTGTAAACTTTAAATTGCCAAATTTTGAAGAGTTTACTTCATAGGTACCACCACAGGGCGTGTCGGAGCTAATAGTCAAGTGGACTGTTATGTTTGGTAATTTTTTATTGAATGAGAAACGAACGCTGGAAAGCTACGCTTGGCGCATTACAAGCTCGCCAATGAGGGCGCGGACAGGGCGAACTTATGCGTCACCTCCAGTTTTCTGGTACGTGTATGTAGTTTTGTTTGGACAGATTTTGAAACAATGCTTAATAGTGAACCACTTAATTGTATACTTAAATCACTCCTGGGTAACACCTTGAGATAAGGAAGTCTCCGTCAGACCTTCCGTGTGGCTTTACGCTCGTATTGTGGTTTAGCAATGCACTGCTAGCAGATCGTAATAAGTAAAAACTTGTTTAGTAAAAAATTAAATTTTCACAAATAACAATGTAAAATTTTAGTTATATCGCATTTTACACTGTCAGTCGCCGATGACTGACCAGGCACTCGCTGTGGACCATAGTCTCCGTCACGTCACACAGTATGATAGACTCTTACAGCTAATGATCTTACTAACGTGATCTGAATCAGCTACTCTATGTATACGTATTTTTAAATACGCGAACTCTCTAATCGTTCATTGCCTGGGGAAGCCCTTCTTTCTTAATTAAACTGGATGAGGGATGGAATTTGAACTAAATTGCTTCGTACTTATATTTAAAGAGTAGATAATTATAGTGTGTGAAACAATTTAATTGAAGACTTGCAGAGGAAAACTAAAACAACCCATTTAATCTCTAATTCGTTTCTCGTAATGTTTTATAAACCTGTAGGCAAGTTTTCTATAAAATTGTGTGTTAAGATATTAAAATCAGTTTTTCTTAAGGTTGCCATGCCAATCCAGCTGTTACCTTGGCTTTTGCAACAGTAGGAAAAATAAAGTTGAATAGAGTTTTGCCTTACTTCTTGGCTCAATACCTGGGAGCACTTACAGCTGCTGTTCTGGTGTTTGCAGTATACTATGGTAAGTCTTCTCTCATAAATGTTTGTCTCTTTGTTTCATTTAACGTTGGACAGTTTGAGAAATCCAGTTACAAAACCTGAAAACTGCAAAACATTAGTTTGTCGATACTCCAGTTCAACGAGTATCGACGAACTCCTAGAGTTTAATATCTGTATAAACCTGGTTATAAAATGTGTTGAGGATTTTACTAATAACCCTCTTTTTGACCAACTGTTGTGGTATTCTATTGCAAATTACTATCAAAATTTGGAAAATTCCAATCAGGTGATTGGTTTTTGCGAAATATATTTTTTGAATAAAAATGAGTTTCTTTAACTCTTTTTTTTTTTTTTTTTTTTTTTTTTTTTTTTTTAATTCTGATTTTGAAAATTTTCACGTGGTAATGTACAATGCTCAAAATAAAATATAGAAAGTTTAAATAACCTGTGGCTCGGCTATCGGATTTTCACGTAATAACGTTTAATCTTAATGGTACGAGAAAATAAATTTAACTTAAAACTAGCGCAGACGATATTTAACTACACACGTACACTGAATAACCCTCGCTGACTGATTCACATTTTTTGTCCCTTAAAATAGGTACCTGTAAAAGAAAATTTAGACCTTAATAAAAAAAAATCTGGGTATTCCGTTACACCAATAAAATTAAAAGAATTAAATTTTTCGCACAATTGCAAAACTAATTTGAAAAAAGCCATTTGTAGAATGATTACAATTTTTATAATTTAATTTGTGGGTCAAAAAGTTTCGACTCGTAAGATACACAAATATTTACTTCGCTCTGAAACATGATTTATGACAGCTATCTCTGTTAATATACATGCATTAATATTACTAAAATATACGTTTCGGGAAAGAGTTTTAGATTAAAATGTTAAATTTTAAGAATTTTTATTTTGTGGCAATTTTTAAGGACTTTTTAGGTCCTCAAAACATAGGCTATATTTAATTTTATCAGTTTTAAATTAGAGATTTATCATTTAAATTTTGTATGATAGCTCTGATTTCCAATGAAATAGTAGTTTTTAATACAGTTGTGTTTGTAATTTGGCAGTTCCTTTTCTTTAAATGTTTGTTACTTTAATGCTAAAGAATAGAATTTGAATTTCTCTCCTGAATTTAAGTTTCTAGAAATAAGTTTTTTCCTTAGATTCTATCGGCGACTTTGACGGAGGCGAGAGACTAGTTCCACCTCATCTCAATGCAACAGCACAAATATTTGCTACCTACCCTCCCCCGCATGTCTCCCTGTGGGCCGCCTTCGTAGATCAGGTGAGTCAATTGAATAGAATATATTCTTTATACCATCCATTCAAAGTACTCTTAAGTGATTATCTTTATAGTGCAGCACCGGAATTAGAAATTTCAACAGCAATTGTAAATATACTTACCATATGAAATACTTATCTTAAATATTTCATGTGAAGCAACAAAACTTTCATAATTTTATCAGCGTATTAAAATAAGTTTGCATCAGAAAATGAAGAGAAATAAAGTCTAGTTCTAAATTTATTTTTTATGTCTACACATGCTGAAAATGAAAAACTCGCTGAATTAGTTTTAGTTGAAATGAAAGAGAAAGGATCTAACAAACAATGAGAATGGTTTTCAGAAATTTTGTTTTAATTTCCCACCGAACTTTAAAATTCAAAATAAAAAGTAAATCTAAGTAAGCACTAACGCAATAGTCTATGAAGCTAGACTGAATGCATAGCAATTTTTTTTTCTCCTTAGGTCTTATATTTTCCGAATTTAATTTTTTGCAATGAAATTTTGTTAGTACATTAATCATAGCAAAATTTTTCGAAGCAAGTGAACGTTCAATTAAGGAATACAGAATGTGCCACACGGTTAACTAATGAGCTACTAATTTTACTAGCTAACTATATATAAAGATAACTTAATCACATAACAGCTAATTTTTTTTTTAAATTATCCTCTCTAAGCCTTCTTATATAAACTAGATACAAATGGCGTATCTTATAACTAGCAAAATCTTTTACTTTCTTTCTTAATGACTATTGATAATTTTTGATGTGAAGCGCGAGCTTACAAAGATCTCTGGAGAAATCTAAATTATTTTTAAAATAAAAGAGAAACATTCGTAAAAACCACTTAAATTTGCTGTAAGATTCGAACTAATTGCAATTTCGAGCAAAGGTTTTTTAACAAAATTCTAAAATTGCATTTCTGCACCCTGTTGAGTGACCCGCATATTTTTTACCTCAAAGTAAACAGTAATTCTCTAAATTATAGAAAATTAAATATTTTATTCTTTCGCAATACAAATTTTTCTACACATCTTCGTAGTGTCAAGTTTCGAAGTTTTTAGTTTTTGCACAATAAAATGTAAAGGCCTGGTTTCTTAGAACAGGACGCCGTCAGCTGGAAATCAGCGCTAACCTCTGATTTGTCCATTTGTGAGTTTGATAGTATACGTNGAACTAATTGCAATTTCGAGCAAAGGTTTATTAACAAAATTCTAAAATTGCATTTCTGCACCCTGTTGAGTGACCCGCATATTTTTTACCTCAAAGTAAACAGTAATTCTCTAAATTATAGAAAATTAATTATTTTATTCTTTCGCAATCCAAATTTTTCTACACACCGTAGTGTCAAGTTTTTAGTTTTTGCACAATAAAATGTAACGTTAAATTATACTGTGACGGCTCTCATGCTTTATTCGAAAAAGATGCCATCGACTTAATAAAATTACTAAAACACTTTTGTGCGGTAAATAGGCCATAAAAAACGCATAACGTCTCACAAAATTTCACGAATAGCTATAAAATAGTTTCGCAACAAAATTTTAAAAAATTTTCAAGATATAGATGAGGACAGCGTAAAAAAAAATGTGTCTCGTAGAGTCAGAGTTGTGGATCCTCGTTCTGCTATTTGTTTTGAAATCATAGTCTTAGTGTCTAAGGAAATTACCTCCCTCTTCGCTTTTTTTTTTCTTTTTTTTTTTGCTCTTATCCATTTCCAGGTATTATGACAAAATAAAATCTAAAATTTTTATTTAAATAGAGAACAGATTTAAATTCAATTGAAATGAATCTGAATAGTCCTGGATTGTGAAAGTATCTTAAAGGATGTCTTAACAATTAAGACACACGTAACATTCTTTTATGAAATCGCTTTATTAAGCAAACTTATTACTTGCATAGATCAGAAACTAATGAAAAAAGTAAATTTCCACTTATTCGTTAAAATAAGCAAATTTCTAGTCTCAAACTATCTCATCAACTAAAACCTACTGACGCAATTATGTAAAGTAATGAAATACTCATCGAAAAACTAAATGGTCGATAAAACCTACAAGAGATCTTTGATAACTTCGTCAATTATGCTCCAATTTGATTAAAATTTTCATATTCAGAGTAAAAAATCGCACAAAAGACCGCACCAAAACAGGTTCGTCTGTAATTCTTTTTCTTAAGCAATTAATGATAGAGAAGAAACTATTTACTCAAATCATTCTACAAATACATTTGAGATTTTACTATAGATTCCATGCAGGTGGACTGGAAAGTGATTTCGATTGACTTTCAAGAACTTTATTCGCTAGTTTTATTCATTTCTTTTAAAAGGCCTTCCTCGGGTATTCTATTCGTTTTCATAAAATTTGTTTCATCTTAAACTGTTATGCAAAGTCTGGCTTCAAATCGGATGCTACTCTGCTCAGAACGTTATGTTCTTCCTGTTTCAGGTAATAGCTACAGCCATACTACTGATGGCCGTTGTGGCAATAATCGATCCAAAAAATCTATCCACACACAAGGGTCTTTATCCGTTACTTATCGGTCTTGCGTTGGGAGCTATTGTATATGCGTTACCATACAACTGCATGGCTCCTCTCAACCCTGCCAGAGATTTGTCTCCAAGACTCTTCACTCTGATGGCTGGATATGGATTGGAGGTCTTCAGGTATGTTCATCTTCTCTCCATAACTCAAACCTTCTTTTTCTCTTGTTTCACCGAATAAATTCAATCTCTAAATTTTCTTAAACTGCATGTGTTTCTAGAAATTAAAACGTTTCACAACTTAAATAGACTTTTTTTTCTAATGATTGCCTTATCAGCGGATATGAAACTTTAATGGTTTTAGAGATTAAATGCAGATTGATTTGATCAGACTATATTTCAACTAACGAAATGTGCATGCGTAAACTTTTTCGGCAGATTTTTACCATCGAAATACCCACAATCTGGAAGCATAACTAAATTAGGTTTGGTAAAAAAGTTCTGAATGTTTTGCGCATATCACCATGTCATTGGATATATTTTGTGCCTTTAAAACTATTCATTCCATGTAACAACATTTTGCTTTAGTTTAGTAAAGGACAAATTTTTAGATTTATAAGATTTATATTTTGCAATTCCAAAATGTATCCAATATTTATGGGTGGTACAAACTTTCAACTATTCTGCCTGAATCGTTTTTTATTTTTAAGATTGTGACAACCCATTGTTTGAGGGTTGATCTAAACTTTTAGAAAAAGGCAAATTTGTCTCATTTTGTAGTTTAGAATAGTGTTTATAATTTAGCTCCCCCCCCTCTGATCCATTCATTTTACATTTGAAATGGTTGTACTTGAAAATCTGGTCCTACCAAGAGATATTAAGATTGTGTTCACGACTGTACAGATAATTTGACTCTTGTCACGCTTCAAAATATATGCTGTGAATAGTACTGTTCCTTTAAATAAGGGTCGTTACTATAATTATCAGATGGAAAATACATTCACCCTGAGGCACGCTATTATTTTTATCTATACAGACTTCTGTTCGAAACTTTCTTTGTATTTTTGATGTTTATCACTAGATTCTTGAGTACGATCAAATCTATCTGTCAGTCGCAGAAAAATAAAACAAATGCGTGAAAATCTCGTCAAGAATAAAAATTCTATTGGTTATACTGTAAGTGTTTAATGGTAAGCAATGGAGTAAGCTAAAAATCTGGCAAGGATCTAAGGAATGAGCTAAATGTAAACATATTTTACCAATATATACTCTGCACTGCACCAAAAGCACGAATGTGCCCATTTGATATTCATGTTTTTGTTGAGAAGCCCACTATAGATCGTCAGAAAGGTTTCAAACTTAGTTTTCAAAAGTTAACTCTGTTCAAGGAAGGGTGTAGTTCCCCTAAGTAAATACTTGTTTGAATATCCCAGGGCTTTTTTACGGAACCTAGTTTTTTCAATTTATACCGTTATAGCTTATAATTTAATGGGCATGTATTGCACTAATACGTTAGCTTCCATACGTTCCCGTACGTAAGATTGAAGTAACTGCGAATGCTCTCTTTTATTTTAGATGCTACTTATGTTGGCGTTATTTGCGCTACAAAGTCAAAGCTACCAGTAAGCTGCTTATATCTGTTAAATGTTTCTGTTTAAGCCAATCTAACTAAATTTATAAACATGTAATACGAATTTGAAGAATTGTATCGAAGAAATTTAGAAATGAATCTTACAACAATCGGTTCATTCAATAGTTTTATTGTCTTTAATGAACTATGTTTGTCTAGTAGCACTTCTTCCATAAAAGAAAAACTATATAAAGTTTCGATTTTTTTGAATTATATTTAAGTATACAATTTAGTTAAAAGAAGTTAAATAGAAGTTCAATAATATTTTTTATATATTAATAAACTGCGTTCTTCATCACCGAATTCATCAATCTATAAACTACCAAATTTTCCTGCTCACAGATCCTCAGTTATATGTAGAGCAAAAGCATCTCGATTTGTATGCCACAGCCTCAAAGATCGTCCGTTGTAAATGTTTGATTTTGTGGTCAAAGTTGAAATGAGATTCTACTACCGAAGCTTTTTTTAACTTACGGATTTTTGCGAAATCTCTTATTTTCACTTACATAAGTTTGATATATTTTACGGGCGCATGCGCTTGGTGTCTTGCGTACGGAAGGTAACGTAAATTCGCGAAATCTCCCTAATATTTGATACTTTTGTTACAAGATTCAGTATATCCGCTCCTCTGTTTAATCCTTTAGAGAACTGAAATTATGAAGATTGAGATCGCTGCGTAAAGCTAATTTTCTATTCAGTTTCTGAAAAGGTATTTTTACAAATCTAACTACAATCTATAAAACTGCTTTAAACTTTTGAAAAAGTAGTTATATTTCCTTAATGTGTCAGACTGCTCATGTCTGTAGTCTTTTAAATCATTAACATTGAAAACTGTTAATATTGTTTGAGCCTGCATCAGATCACTGCTTCCTTGTTTATAAAGCCAGATACAAATCTTTCCCCATTCTAATACCCAGTCTCTTTGTAATTTTAAGTATATTTTGAATGCATTATAACTCAATCTGATATCTTATTTTTAACTTTGATAAAAAAAATGTTTAAATTTTGCTTCAGTTTGTCATTAGCCAAATTTTAAACTTTTTACGCTCTTTGCAAACATTATTCTCAATAACAAACTAAACTAAATCTGGTTTGTGAGAACTGGTTAGATTAATTTAGAAAATATGGAAACAGTTTTCAGTTAACATAGAAATATTGATCATGGAACATTTAGTTTAAAAATATTTTCGGAAAAAAGCTTGCGTCACTACATATTTCTACAATTTTATTTATCGATACCCATACTGGTTAAATTGGGAAACGATGAGTTTAAATATTTTGTTAATAAAGTTTTGGAATTTTTATCACCAGTAAAATAAAAGTTTCTATTTTTTTACAGCCATCGAAATTATGGTTATTTTATAATACCAATCATAGCTCCTCACATTGGGGCTGTTATCGGTGTCTGGTTGTATAAACTTGCTATAGAAATCCATTTGCCAGAAAATAAATCTTCCACTGGAGCTTTTAGAAGTAAGCATTTATAGATTTACTGATTTTTATTGTACTTACTAAGGGACAAAGCCCCCTGTTCACTACCGCTCACCAGCCCCGATTATTGCTTCGCAATTGTTTCTCGGCAGTAAAGTTTTTCTTTACAAAAGTTTGAATGATTCTCTTAGGATGTGTACTAAAAGAATTCTGTTTGCTTGTGCGCATTTATATTTTTTATAACCTTATATATTCTAACAAATTTGGGTAAGTTCACAATGGTTATTTAATATTTTGGCTTGCCAATCGGAAGGATATATTAAATACGATTTTTACGTACAACATATATAACGTACAACAGATTTATATATAGTTAGATTTAAAAATTTCTTGTAAGCAATTTAACATTTATAGATATGCTTTCCGGCTCATGTAATCTACTTTAGGAGTTACACTATTATGCGTGTTTAAGTGGCTGGATTAGAAAATACGTTTCAAAATATTTCACTTCAAAGTTCGCAATGCACAATCTTAACCGTAATTTTAATCGTGCTCATTTTCTACAAAAGCTTCGCATGAGATTCAACTAAAATCGTACCTACATTTAATAATTTCCATCACTTGACACTTATGTAGTAAACAATTTTCAGCTTGTAGAAATTCAGGCCTTGATCAGTGTTATCATGCACATGTAGTTGAAAGTCTCTAAACATATTTCAGTAGTCAATTTAAACTATTGTTCAAATGCACTTAATAGTTTGCTGATCACTTAGAAGTAAAAGTATTAATTTTAGAATTTATGAAAATTATTGCAAAAGTATTAAAGCATCTACTTTACATTTCTTCGAAGACCGGGATAGCCTGGTTGCTAGGGCATTGGGCCCATGACCAAGAGGTCACGAGTTCGATCCCCGCAGACAAGTCTCCCCGTGCAGTAAATGACTGGTGTACATTAATTCGGTCTACTCACAATGTTCCCATAACAAATCGTACTACTTGGGGTGCCGAATTGAATGGTGCTCGTTCTCTGGTTCAGGTCAAAATTGCGATCTAGGGATGGATGTATGAATAAGTCCGCTCTTTAAACGGCATTTGACGTGTGGGTGGCTGAAGCCTTATTCTTGGCCATAAAAAGGCACCCCTGAAAAACAAACACACCCTCTGCAAATTTGATCAAATGATGAAAAATCCTATAATTATGATTTTTCGGAGGTATTAAGGAAGCTTATTACTCGCCATAAGAGGAATTCCTTTAGGACTTAAACTTTTTTTCATCCGTGGCATGACCTGGTAAGAGAATTTTCATAGCCACGCTTCAAAATATATGCTGTGAATAGTACTGTTCCTTTAAATAAGGGTCGTTACTATAATTATCAGATGGAAAATACATTCACCCTGAGGCACGCTATTATTTTTATCTATACANTCCTCATTGCGCTAACGCGTTAAGGGGCGAGAAGAAAAAGATGAAGACAATAAAAACTGTATCTAAAAATATAAATTAAGCCGAAAAATTAGTATTTTGATTAATAAAACGGGATATTTAGAAATTAGGCTGTGACTTAATGTCACACACATTAAATCTGTCGACTCACAAAGTTCACAATGTTCCCATAACAAATCATACTACTGGGAGTACCGAATTGAATGGTGATCGTTCTCTGGTTCAGGTCAAAATTGCGATCTAGGGAAGGATGTATGAATAAGTCCGCTCTTTAAACGGCATGTGACGTATGGGTGGCTTAATTCTTGGCCATAAAAGGCACCCCTGAAAAACAAACACACCCTCTGCAAATTTGATCAAATGATGAAAAATCCTAAAATTATGATTTTTTGGAAGTATTGAGGAAGCTTATTACTCGCTATAAGAGGAATTCCTTTAGGACTTAAACTTTTTTTCATCCGTGGCATGACCTGGTAAGAGAATTTTTATAACCGTTCAAACAACTATTTATTCTAAAGCTATTCGTTTAGTACTGAGTTAAAAAATTGTTTAGAGCTTGTAGAATTATTACACCATATACAAAATGTGGGTATAAATCTCTAGTTTTTAAATACGCCATCAGAAATTTTCCATCCTAAACCAAAAAGTTGCATACAAAAAAAAAGCCAGATTTTGTCCCCCTCCCCCCCGGTTGTAATCCTTCTCGCTGTTGTCAAAATGACTGGGCGAAATTTTGCCTTTATTTCTCGTGACCATATCACCAGGCTGAAATGTTTAAAACAATTTTTGGCATGCTATTTTTTCTTCTGTTCGGAATTTTCAATTTATCAATCTAGAGATCAGATGATAGTTGACTATTTGTAACGAGTTTACAGTGCTTTATTCAATTAATGTCAGCCCTTTTCTAAAGCTGAAAATTACCCAAAGATTAAAAAAATGAGTACATTTATTATAAAGTAAATTAAAAACTAAAGGGCTCTTTTATGACAGTTTTATTATTTTCTGCGTAAAAAAGTCACAACACAGTAGTAAAATAAAACTTTATTTTTATCTAAAGTGAGAGAAACCTCTGAAGAGAGCGAGAATCTTGATGAAGATCCTAAAGAACCATTGATCCACATCGAACGATGAAATTTGCTGAAAGGTAATTCGACACTTACAATTTTTGCTTATTGATAGTTAAAATTGTACTCCTAATCTAATAAGTCTCAAAGTTACGAGATTTTCACGCTTCCCACTTTTTTTCATGCTTTCGGCTAATCTTTCATTTTTCCTACGGAAGATTTGGAAAGTTGGAATATACTTTCTTGTGGAGGGGAAAGCAAGATTCTTCAAAACTAGGGAAATCTCTTAATTTTGAGACGCTTATTTTATTTGCGAAGTAAAGCTAGATTCAAAATCTAAATTTTGGAGGAAAAAAAAGTCTTTGCAAATACAGTTTAGAATTAGTTTGTTACAAATTTCTTCAAATTGTATCGTAGATCTCATACGCACTGAGATGAAGATAATGGGGTTTTTTAAATAATCGTAGTTCTGTACTTAAAAGAATTCTAAGAATGTTTGATTTAATGTAAATTATTTCTTTATGGTGACAAATTTCTTAATTTTCCATGATCTCCAAAATTTAATTTGAGTTAATGTTGACTTTTTTTTGGGGGGGAGGGGTCTGTAAAAAAGGTTAGTTTACTTAACGATAGTCTGAGGTTTGTAATATTTTAATTAGCAAAAATGAAAGAATCTCTGAATCTCTTTAAACGAATACTTTCATTTTTAATGGCTGATCAATATTTCGCTAAAAGCTACAGTTAGATTTGATCAGAATCTATTGAAAGTTGAACAATAGAATAAATCTCTGAAAATGAGTCAGATAAATGAAAACAACAAGTAAATTCGAGAACTTTGCAGTCAAACTTGTTTACGCTAATTTTTAATCAAGTATAAAGTGTATAATCATGCAAAACTGCGCGGACTTTATATTGATAGCGCTGATTTCTCAGTTTAAAACGGTCCTAATGTCCATCTAGCTTAAAATTATTCAGATTGTGGGAAAATATCTGGCTTTAAACTGGAGCTCTTAACCTTATCAAACCAGCTCTCGGTTTCAGTTTCACCGCACTTCATGAACAGCTCTGCTTGTTGTGGCATTCGTTTTCCGCAAGTATAGAGTTTTGTTCTGTATTCAAATCCTGTAACAAACAACTCTTACAAAGTTTTTAGAATATGTACCCTTCTCGTCTTGATATTTAGACATGGTTTTTTGGACACTGCCAATGAAATTCAAAAGAATAGATTTAAATCAAATTTATTCCGGATTTTTCAACTGAACTTAAGTTGAAATTATAAAATATTTTTAAAATCAGCTTACAGCCACGAAATGTGTTAGCAGTAATTTTTAAATATACATATTAGTGTTGGAATTTAAATATATATTAGTGCTTAAAATTCTTACTTTATACCGAATTTACAAGAGACCCAAAACCGGCTTGATAATCTTTATTTCTGGAATAGTGATTTATACCAAGAATCCAGGAAAATGCTTCTTCAGAATAATTAAGAAGCAAGATTTTTCAAAGAAAATTTCGTTATGTTACATATGATTCTTAATAAACTCTTCGGGTGAAAGAAGGGGGTGATTTGAAGGGGGTGAATTTAATATCTTCTAGACAAGGCAGACATTTTTGTGATTATTTTTAAATATTGTTCAAGCTGGCTTAAATAAGACTAATCCAAAGACATCTGACTAATTGTTTAGAAGTTATAAGCTTTTTATGTACGAAGATCAAACTTCTGTCCTTATTGATTAGTTTCATATTGCCATCTAAACATATGAGATGGTTTCCTATCTATTGTCTTACTCTAAATCTTACTATGCATAAGTCAATAGAAGCAATTCTAAACATGCATGTCTTTCTATGTATAAAGAGTACTTTTGACACGCATGTATACTCTCTACATTGCTATTCAGGAACTTTCTGAACATCCAAGGCACATAGTCTGAATTTGTTATATTCTATTTATCTGACAATCGGGCTAATGTCTTAGAAGTTTTATGTACTAAAGTAAAATTTCGTGCTAGTTTAAAATATCGTTCTTGCACTTATTTACCCATATTACATTGCTGTACAGATGTGAGGTATTCTTTAATATAAATTTTTCTCGCGTTATTGAATGAGACGATTAGCTAAGGGCTAATATTTCAGAGATGAAGTTTATATTTTTGTATAAAATGTGCTAATTCAGAAATGCATTCATCATGAAATCCCTAAACTTCAAAACTATTAATCCCATGAGCTCTAATTCTCTCATTTGATTAAACATAAAATTTCATCTCAATGTACCTTACATGATTAGATAGCTCGTAGATAGGAAAAGTGTACATAAGTCACGTCAAAAATGGTACTTTTGTACACAAAGCTCACAACTTTTAAAACTCTGCGTGTTCTATTGACTTGTATATAGTCTCTCTCGATTAGACTTTGAAAAATACGTCGGAAATGCATCACTTGCGTTTCTCAAATTATTCCAATTTCTTTCAAAGAAGCGAGAATAGAGTTGCGGAGTTTACAAGAATCATAATAGCATGGCAGAGCTTTTTGTCAAATCTTGGGAATTCTTCCGACGAAACTTCCTTTTTTTTTTTTGTTAACTACTGACTACATTCCTGAAGTAAGGAACCATGAGATAGGCTTATTGGGGGGAAAACGCGTCGACAGAGCTAGAGTTCAGACCAGTACGTCTATATGCGTCTGACGAAAATTATAGCGATTGTTCACATTAAATCTATGAAATTTAATGCTATCAGTTATTTCAAATTAAGTTATTGAATTTTATTTTAGCAGACTGCAGCACCACAGGAGCAAGTTCATGAATGACTGCTGATAAGGAAGAATATATTGAAAGAACTTCTCTAAATTCAAGTTTTCAAACAAATTCTTCAACTTTGCGTTTATTTCGATTTTTTAACTGTTTACATTTTAATGTTTAAGTTTTATATTTTTAGATAACAAATATCATAGATATGTTCTTTAATAAATGTTTTACATTTTGATTCAAAGTGTCGTTAGCTCCTTTAACTCCAGAACACTTTCAAATAGACGCATATTTAAAAGCAATTAAGAATTTATCTAAATTGAGTTCTCTACATTTTAAGTATAGGAAACTATCAAACACGCCTGGATCAAATAATTTTGCAATACCACAATATAAACTATAGCTACCAATTGTATCAATAGTTTACTCTAGTAAGTAGCAAAATAGAGAGTTATAAATGTGACAGATTTAATGATCGTAATCTCTAATTTTGTTTACTTTGATAACTGGCAAATCTGTTATCCAGTTTATGGTTGCCAGTTCCAGTTATGGCTGACAACATTTAGCCTCTTTTCGAACATTATCTTTGTTTCAAGGTAAGAATTATTTTTGATTTCAGATGACACCGCTTGGAGGTAGTTAGCACAGCAATTCTAATAAATTATACCAAGCTTTACAATCATAGTACACTATTAAGAATTAGTTATTATACAAATAAGGAAATATGAAAAGGCTAGTTTTCATTGAAACTTCGTCTTTGTTAATTATAAAATTGAAGACAATCCTTCACAAATATTCTGTGTTCGACAGCTCTAATTATTCTGAAAAGCTTGAGTTTCAAAATGTTTCATAATTTTGATACAGTTTTCGTTTTCTTAAGTTCTTCTACCCGAGCAAATGATTCACTTTGGATGCTTTAAACGCCCCCTATGAACTATCCTTAACGTTAGATGATCCACGTCGAATTCTTTTTTTCCCTCCTTCATTCTGTGACTAGTAGCTTCTTGATAATTGTTAGTACTGTGCCATTACTTATAGTTTCAAAAACATTCCATACTTCTGAAGGAAATAATGGAGGTTCTCGAATAGCTCTTCGATTTAGTCATCCAATATAATAATCTTCCAGACAGTTTAAAATAGGCAATAAATCGGATCAATTTCATTCCACAGACTAAAGTGCTAAATTTCTGACGTGTGCCTAGAGCTTTCTAGATTTCTGTTACTCAGATGAAAATTGTTCTTTTTTCGTAGAATAGAAGGGCGCAATTTTTCCCCAACTAGTGTTTATTTTTCGAACTTTTCAGATTATGGAAGTGCACCCATCCCCTCCACTGTTACGCGATTGATAGAATGGAAAGAGTTAAAGCTAATTAGTTCTTTTCAAATGAACAAAAATTCGTCAAATCTTTTGATATATATTTTAGTTTTCCAGGCATTTAACTAATCATTTTAAAACAAACGTTTTGAATATGTACAAATTGACGGAAGTTAGGGTGTCTTCTGCTTTGAACACGTCCCTTTGTTTACATTGTCTCGTCAGCAGCTAGCGGCATACCTTAAACAATTTTCGAAACAAAAATTTTCTATTTTTAAGTTTTAAAGCGTCTAATTACTTAACTAGTTCGTCATTTATATATTAACAAAAAGGAAAACTTTGTTCTAAAGTAGAATTCTCAATAAATAACTTTAAAAAGCCATTTGTCCTGTCCTTTTTGACAAATTTCAAACTGTTCCAGTGAAATGGATTTTTATTCTATTAAGCTGAAAGTAATATAAATGTTGACACTTTGTTGGAAAAAGTTTTAATTTAGTTATATATATATCTATATATCTTTTATTACAATCTGATGCTGGTTCTTGAATGCTCTCCTATTATTTGTTTCTATAGTAAAGAATGGAAAAAGTACTCCGCCAATTTTTTATGTTACCTAATATATATTTTGAAAGAATTGTCATTTTAAGCGTGAGGAATGATACAAAAAAAATCAATAAAATTCCAAACGTTGATTTCTTTGAATTTTTTAAATTTTTCAAATTTTGTAAATAAGTTTTTAACAATATGAACTTATACTGAAAATTTCAAACCAATATCTTGATAATTTTTAATAAAAATTTAAATTCCTTTGTCACCTTGAAAAAACAAAATTCCCTCCTTTTCACACTTAATTTTTAAATAACTATTTAAAATTCCTGATTTTCTGTGAATGGAAATAATATTTTAATTATCTGTAAAAAATTACATTTAGCATCCTATTGAAGCATAATCACTGCAATTAAAAAAGCAATCTAATTTGTAACAGAATTGAATCTGGAAGAGACAGAAATGTCATGAGCAGTATTTTTCCTTTAGTAATCCTAAGTTGCATATACTCTATTTGATATAAAAGGTGTTCCAAGATTTAATCGAAATATTCAAAGGTGTAACAAAATATATGGGTGAAGACTTTCTATGGGGGTTGCGTACCACGTTTACACTCACTAACAGGCTCTGAATCTGCACTGAGAAAAATTTATGGAGTCTTATCACCGAAAAGGGTGGCAACTACTTAACGCCAAAGTAGTGTTCTGGAACATAACATAACTCTTAGTTCTTGGTATTTCATTACACCAGGAATGTTTTTTTTTTACCCTTCTTGGCTTAAAATTCCTACCATCCCTTTTCGTTATTCGGTAACTTTTAAAATGTATAACTATAGTAATATCATTTATTATGTATGGGTCAGTAAAATTATTTTATATATATATATATATATATATATATANAATTAGTTTGTTAATCAAACATACAGCAAGTCGAAGACTAAGATGAATAGTATAGCTTTTCAGAACTAAGGTGAATTAAAGCTAAATATTCTGCGCCACTGTTTTAAAGTGATGAGGAAACAGAGTGGAAGTCCTTTGAAGCGTGGAAAAGCCCAACTGGTATATTAGAGTGTTTCCACGAACACCTGGCAGCATGTGTGCCACTTTGAACAACTTTAGCATTAATTAAATCTTTCTGTAGTTAGCAAAAGTCTGCAGTATCTTCTGTAGCTGTTTACGAGCTTGTCATATTAAATCTGCACTGATTCTGTCTCTCTCTGATGCATTTTATCTCCCCCCCCCCACTAAATATGACGGTCGAATTTTAGAATTACTGATATAGCTAGAGTGAAAATCTAAATGAGTGCTTACCAACTATAAGTACTTAATTTGGATTACCTATTTAATTGCTTCCGTTGACTGAAGAGTTTTTAGTAAGAATTTACTGAAAACCGTTACCAACGTTATGCTGCCGATCTGATATCAATATAATGTTAGTATCAGAGTTGGGAAAGTTTTCGACAATTGACAGTTTTAACCGTGGTTTTGTCCGTCATGTCAAAAACTCCTTTTGACGAGTATTAAAAACCCGAAATTTTAGTGTTAGGATATTTATTAGCCATTATAATTAAGTGGTATTCTACATATAAAATTATAAATGAACAATCAATTATGTTCTTGAATTATTTTGATATGGAACTCTCCTTTTGACAATTGTTAAAAACCCAAATTTTTATGTAGAAAATATTAAATAATTATAAATAAAAATGTGTAAGATTGAAATTTTTCCGATCAGTTCATTTGTTAAAATATATGAAATCAAAATATAAAAAAACACCCAACAACCATCTTTATCATTGTATCTAAAACCTATTAGAACCTATTAGAACATAATAAAATAACATGCAACAAGGAAATTTATTTTAATAACTGTATTAAATATTAATAGTAGTTTAGGTAAACCCTTGAGTGAATTGATTTTTAAAATTATAAACTTATTTAAACATTTATTTTTTAGGAATTATAATTTGTTCATTAATCAGGGAACTAATTATCATTAATAAAACTAAAATAGTGCACTAAAATGGGAAATGTTCATGTACATATAAGCAGGAGTGCAAAAACTTCTCAGAAAATAATATTTTCAATGAAGTTTTTTTTTGTATCAAAATCTCACCAAAAATTTTAGCTTTTTAAAAAGAAAATTTCATTGGAAAATAAAGTTTGTAAAAGAAAAATCTTTTATTTTACACAATTCTTAAATTAACTAGCATATGTGTTATAAATTAATAGAAATCAAAATATATTGAAATCGTAATTTATTCAATTAAATTAATGGTTTCAATTATTAGCTAAAGGAATTCAAACTAATAATATATACACAAATTGATTCATGCTTTTGTAACACGAAAAAGTTAAGCAAAGCAACATATTTTTTAACAAAAAATTTTGTAGGAATATTTTTAGACCAAATATTCTTCCATGGCTGCATGAATTTTCTCCTAAATCTTTGTTCGCATGGTCAAACATATTCTACTCACCTGAATATAATAACAACAAATATTGAGAATCAATAAAATAAAAAAATACGTTGAGTTTAGACAGTCACTGCCGAACATTTTAATTTTATTAAATCTAAGAAAATCTGCCTAAATTGTAACATAAAAGAATTAAAATCAATATTTTTATTAATAATAATTAACATAATCAATAAAATAATCCATGCAAATATTGATTATTTATAATAAATATTTATATTAATAATTATTACAGGTAATAACAAATAATCATAGTTATGACCTGCAATATAACCCGAATAGTTGTAATACGGGTCTTAAAGTTACCCAGGAATTACTTAGTTACTTAGGATTACCATTGGAAAAACCAATTAATAGTTCCAATAATTTTTGCGACTTTTTTTAAATATAATATGTAACTCATAATTATAGTAGTATCTAATGCAAGTATTGATCATGATTTAGTATTAAGTAGTGTAGTTTTAGTGATTTAAATATCTCCAATGTTAATAAAAAGAAACTTCCCCAGATTTTTTGACACTTTTCGACACATTTTTGAAGTCAAAAACCTAACCCTGGTTGGTATCTATTAACGATACGGAAATATAAAAGAGTTTATAGTGCTTGTTATAAATGTGTATTATCTTTGAATTTTTTTATTGTTAAACAATTACTAAAAAAGGTTATTATAAAATATCACGCTTATGTAACAATTTGCCCTAAGCACTCTGAGGGACCATCAACAGTCACCACTATAAAATTAAAAAATGTTTACACCCTATTAATTCGTAACCACNCATTTTTTAAATATAATATGCAACTCATAATTATAGTAGTATCTAATGCAAG